GATCCCTATGGTGCCCAGTGAAAGGTGCGCCGGCTCCATACATTGTATGGAGAAAAGATGGTTTCGCTGTTCAAAATAGTACCAGCATAACATTTCAACTTAAAATGACATCGGAAAACAACGTAAATTACAGCTGCGAGGTACAAGGCGATGGAGAGATATTTAGAAGGAACATCAGCCTCAGAGTTGAAGGTGAGGTCCCATTGCTTCGTAGAACTATATCATTACTTTTCATAACCGGATCGTGTAAACCTCCGTGAAGTTTTTATCCACTCAATTCAAACCACGCAAAAAAGTTTGTGTTTCTGATCAAAGTCGGTTCTGATCTATAATTCATTTTTTGTAACCATGCTCGTCTCGTATGGGTAAATTACACCGTCACACTGAAGTGTTCAAGCGTAACCTTGGCAACTGCGATTTTACCTATTTGTTTACTTTAAATGAACTATTCTTCGTTTCCAAGACAAGTGACTAAATCCTTTCAAATTTTAAGCCTTTGATGCGCCAATCAAGTCATCTTTACATTTCTTCATCTTTTTAGAGTGCCCAAAGCCGTGCGAATGTGACGTCTTTCAGCAAACTTTCATGGGTGTGGATTGTACTGGAAAACAACTGAATTCAGTTCCGTGGAAATTTCCACTTGCCATGGCAAAATTGTGAGTACGATTTTAAAGTTATCAACACCAAGAAAAGATTTATCTCGGGACTACCTTCCCACAAAATGCCTTATTCCAAAAGGAATCCCTTTCACGCTATTCTAGGCCTCGAGTCAATCAGGATGACCCCTGGATAATATATGATTTACGATGACGAATAGTCGATTCGTGAGAATTATTGATATGAAGGATGTCTCACACAGGATTCTCTTAAGATCTACAAGAGCGAGTCTGATCTTGAAAAAAATTTCAGAGGAACTGGCTCAAGAATAAGCCTTACATGTGGTATTTAGTCACTTCACTTGATCCTCTCCTAGAACTAGTAACACGCTTGTCCTGCGAAACAGTGCAAATCTAACTGTTAGCGTGTAGTGTAATGACAAAACAGAGAATGAAGGATTTTCTTGCTTGGGTCAAAGAAAGAGTGCAAAAATTTGTTGAACCTCGCTAACAAGGAACTTAAAATATACTTAACTTCAAACTCTCAATTTAAACTGAGCAAAGGTTGTAACACACCTAAAGCTAAAAACGTTCTACATTACGTCACTAAGATAAAGGTGAAAAACATCAGCTTATCTTGTCTAGTCAAGTTTGTCTGCCGGCGCTGCTTTTCAAATTTAATTAGTTTGATAACTGACCAGTAATTGATGTAACTATCTTGAGGCCTGGAATACACAGCATTCTT